GGGGATCTGGGGGAAATACAGACCTATTGCTTTCAACATGAAGTTTTCTTTGATGCCCTAATGCCTATGTGAGACTCCCCAAGCAAGAGCTCCTATGTGGACATGTTGCTGGGTGCCTCAACATCACCCAGGCTGAACCTCCCCACAGATGAGCAGAGCGGGCTGAGCCTGGGAATAGAAAATGTGCTGCTGTTTCCCCCAGGGGGCCCTGGAACACATTTTCTTGCCTTGATGGGAAAAATCTAAAGATTGGATTTTTTTCAGGATCAATAAGGTTCCTTGTCGAGTAATTTACAGTAGAATGTGAAAACAAACAATACATTCCCCTGGGGGAGACAGAGAGGAGACCTCCTCCGGCATTTCCTGAGGGGGCCCCTTTCTCCTTCTTATTTACTTACTAATTTTTGTTCTCTCTCAAATTCCTTTAGACCCTTAGTCACAGCTTGGGAATTCGTTTGTTCCCATGTCCGTCCTCCTATCGCATACTTAAGTTTGCCTGTCCCCAGCCAGGGAAGAGAGAAACAGGTGGAACACAAGAGAAGCTTTGTTGGGAACCGGGCATGCTCAGGAGGCTACTATGAGGGTGGTGGGGAGGAAGGCGGACGGCTGCATAGTCTGAAACAGACTCAAATTGTGGGCCAGCAGTTTTTCCAAGCTTTTGGTGACTGTTACATTGCTTCTTCCTCTCTCTCTCTCTCTCTCTCTCTCTCTCTCTCTCTCTCTCTCTCTCATCAGTACTTATCTTGGCTCCCATTCCTACATGTAGCTGTCATGAGAATACAAAATATACATTCACAAGACTCACAGCCCTCTGTTCTGTTTGGTGGCTCCTACCACCAATCATGGCTCCCTCTTGATAGCATAACAAGGCAAACACAGTATTAAAGACAGCTCTCTGGGCCACAGGAAAGGGGACAGAGTTACCACCCAGGAGTCCCTGCTTGGAGTGACAGAGTAGAAGTCCAGTACTGCAAGCTCTTTGGTGGGACTTCCTTAAGCACAAAAGACCTGAAAATGGTTTGTACAGGTAGATATCGCTGAACGCACGAAGACGGAGCTGTCTGGCTTTGAGAACAGTCCTGCTCCCCACATATACATGAGACAGCTCTTCCTTTGGTCTCTTTGGGCGGTATTCCTCAGAAATGGGAAATACCTTGCCATGGGGCTCTTCCTGAAGCAGCGAGGGCTTCACTCTACTCAAAACAAAACACAAATCTCCGATTCAGGAGGTTGATCCAGAAGAAGGGTTCTCACTCACCCCGGGAAGAGGTACACCTCGCCTGGCGATCTCTAACTGCCACTAATTCTGAGCCCCTGCGATCGCTCATGACAGTCTTTGTAAAGCAAATGCTTCCTTAATGAACAAAAATTATCCCGTTTCTCTCTCTCTCAAAAAAAATCTAAACAAGTAACAATCTAGTTGGACATCTTACAACTCCACACTATGGCGATGTTCCAAAGAAAAAGAAACAGTGGGGTTTATCTGGATTCGTGAACTATGAATCTATTTTCATAGTGTCCTAAAACTGCCTATTCGTGAAGCCCAGATAGCCATGGAGTAAAATATAATAGCAATGTATGATAATAAAATATTCATATAAATAACAATAAGACATACTACTAATGATGAAGCCCAGACAGTACACTTAGGCATGGAACATTCTCGTGCCATTGGAAGACCTGGACTGGTAATTCTTGTCGTGCAAATACTCAGCATCCATGTTTGTCTGTCAGTCCTGACTCTGTCACGCAGCTGCTCAGTGGAGTTTGAAGCTACCTGCCTTGCACACTACGTCCTGTACCGGTTTCTGGACCAGCCCTGAATAAAGCAGAAAGAATGGATGTGGCTAGGATGGACACTCTGCTGCCACTGCTCTGGCCTTTTGGTCAGCAAGTACTGGGTAACTGACCTTCTGACCCTCACTGTGTCACTCATACCTGGGGGGTGGGGGCAGTGATTTTGACTACAACCATCAAAATGTTACCTGATTTATACCAGAAAACTCTCCACCCATCAGACACTATATCCAACTGGTTAGTGAGTCTACTGGAACAATCTCATAGCGTTTATCCACTACACAACAGCAAATGCTTAACTTGTTCCTTGGTGGGGTGAGTATGGGGAATGTGTGTTGGTGTACACATGAATGCATTTACACAAATGAATCTAGTATGAACTTTACTGCTAAAAAGGACAGAATGTGGTTTATAAATACCAATAAAATATGTAATAGTCTTTATTTTAAAGTCCTCATAATCCAATAACTTTCCCCAGATGCATTTACTTACTTATTTGAACCCCTGAATCTGTAGCCAACAATCATAATTAATATGTAAGTACAATTTGGATGTTAATATTGGCTATTTTCATTCACCTAACTCTAGCAAGACAAAAATGAAGCAACGAAGTCCTCTTAGGAACCTGACTTGCTTACCATGATGTAGGCACCAGCCTCATTACATCAAACCATAGTTTTAAAATATTAGAGAAGCGTTTTCTCAATTCTCTGGATGATTTGCTATGCAACTGCCACAGAAAATTTTCACTTAAAGTTGTATATTTACTTATTTGTGTGTGTGTGTGCACGCATGAACACACATGTGCAAGTGCAAGCCATGACTTGGGGGAAGAGTCTCGGGGAACAAACTGCAGCAGTCAGCTCCCTCCTTCCGTCAAGTGGGTTAAGGGAGTCAAACTCAGGTCTTCAAGTCTGGCAGCAAGTGCCTTTACCTGCTCTTACTGGTCCTGAATATTTTCACTTTAACCTGCATTATTAGGATCTTCTCCATTACTTTCTTACATCTAGACTGCCGATCAGTAAACTTCCTCTCCAAAGGACCAGAGAATAAGTAAATTGGGCTTTGTGAGCTACATATGGTCTCTGTCACATATCTTTATATGTATGTTTTGTTTTTACAATCCTTTAAAAACACACACACCAAAAAAAAAAAATAAACCCTAAAACTTGCCTTTTCTTGCAAGCCACACAAAACCAGACTTGGGTCAGATCTGGAATGACAGTTTGCGGATACTTGGTCTAGACAGCTCACAAAACAATAAAACACACTGTGATTTATAGCATCTGCTGATTCTATGATGTAAATATCCCCTCTGTGGACCGTTCCAAGATCACGTGACTTCACTGGACAGGTGCTGAGAAGATGCGGCAGAGAAACATTACCCAGGGTGCAGCCGTAGACACAGGAGTAGGTAACCGCAAGCGCAAAACATGGAGCGCAGAGTCTGAGCGGCTGCTGTTTCTCGATGCTATTTATTTAGCTTTCCATTGATATATTTTTTAGCAATAGTTGTGTTGACCAAGTCCCTATCGTTTCAGTGATTTCTAGAAGTTAACTGCAGCCCGGGACACATCCTGTGTGGGTCCTGGGATCAGCTCAGACTTTCTCCATCTCCCTATGTAGGCCCCCTAAAAAGTTACACTGTTATACTGCCCGGTCTCAAATGTGAGATAAGTAGATTTTGAACTCTGTACCTTGTAATCTGCCTGAGACCTTCCCAACACTTCATTTAATAGCCTTAAAAAGCAAATAGATAAATCAACTCATGAGATCCTTAGGGTTTGAGGATTATTGGGTTCCCATTTCCTTGGCTGGGGCAAATTACTTAGACTTTGCCATCCCAGTCTGCAGAAACCACTGAAGTAAAATTCACTTAAAGGCACCCTGCCCCCATCCTTATGGGTCAGGACAGCATCTGAGAGGAAGAGGTCCTATGTATATTACGGGAGACATTTAGCTGGGGGCAGCTGGGCTTCTGAAGAAGAGAGGTATTCAAAACACATTGCATACTGAGCATGGCAAGAAAGAGCAAACTGCTGAAGGTAGGTAGTAGGAACAATAAAAAATAATATCTCCCTTATAGACATGCAAAAGGATCAAGAAAAGGAATAAATTTACACGAAGCCACAGCGGTATAACTGTTAGGGAATTCAGAAGACAAAGACGATGTAGCAGACCTTTTGGGGTGCCTTGTAGCGCTTGCTTGCAACTTTAAAACATCTGGACATTCACACATCTCTGCTCCCTGGCTGTATCTTAGTGTAGTGCTGGCAATAGGACGGGCAAAACCCAAGAGCACAGAGAATACATGCAGGTAAATTATCTCAAGCTACTTTTGTGGACTGCAAAATCTAACAATAAATAAATACAGCTTCCCAATTCCAACTTTGCTTTTAATCTTCTAGAAGGAGTAGGTGCAAGAAGGCATCCCTGATATTGGGGTGTGGGGGGAGACTTTTGCCCTTAATTTAAATCATTGTTTTTCTAGGGAAATTTAATTTTTTGGGGAAAAATGTTTTTCTAATTAACTGGATGACCGTGCGCTGTGCAAACAATAAAGATTCTTGTTTGAAAGTAACGCATGCCCCTGCTCCTAGGACTACCAAGGGAATTTAAAATGAAAAAAAAAAAAATGCGAGCAGCTCTGACCTCACGTTTTATCAGAGCTGAAAAGACTCCCCGGCTGCACAGTTTTCTCGTCAGTTCCCAATTTAAAAGCCACAAGTGTTGAACCGGTTCGCACTGTACCGAGACACCTTTTTCTCATCGCTAGAAATGGCTGTTGATTGATTGCGATCTGGGTCTCTCAGTGGGTGCGTCCTTCCATCCCTCTCTGTTCTTCTTGTGCTGGGGTTGGCCTGCAAGGTTAGAAACTGCATATTCAGATGGCTCAGAGGACGATTTCATAATGCTGGTGCTGGGCAGGGCAGTCTAGCCAAATTCCATTCATTAGCTCAGGCGCCAGCCAGAGTGTGACCAGCAAGAATGCCGTTTTGGTTCCATAGAGAAGTTGATAGGAAGTCGGAAATGCCTTTTTTTCATTTCCCCATCTGTCTCTTTCTGTTTCGGTTCCTAAGAGGCAATATATGGACAAATGGAGAGTCCAGGATTCTAGACTATGGAAGAGAGGAGTTAGTCGCTAGCTCAGTCCCTAATGCAGCAGTTCAACCTGCCGCCATTCCATTTCTGACTGTGTCTTTGATCTATTCTGACACTACTTCATATACTAAAATTGGAATGATACTGAGAAGATTAGCATGACCTCTGTGCAAGGATGACACGTGGATTTATGAAACATTCCTTATCATTTTGAGCCAGGCAGTGGTGGCGCACACCTTTAATCTCTGCACTTGGGAGGCAGAGGCAGGTGGATCTCTGAGTTTGAGTCCAGCCTGATCTACAGAGTGAGTTCTAGGAAGGCAGAGCTACACAGGAAATCCCCGTCTTCGGATGTGGGGGGTAGGTGGGTGATTATCTAGGTATCGGCATCAGATGTCTATAGTTAGGCTTAAAGCATCCCCAAATCAGAAATCAAATATCCAATCCACCTGATAGTTCCAGAGCTACCGGCACTGCCATGAGAACCAAGGTGGGGCCTTTGGAGAGCTACACGAATTGCACATGGTTCCTACCGCAGAGGAACATTAAATCTATAGAGGAGACTCCTAGGACCACCATGGGAACTACAATTCTAAAATGTGAGCTGCTCTGACCTCCTAAATGTAAAAGGCAAAACAAAGAAGCCAAAGCTTCTTGGAGACTTCTGAAAGTTGCTGGGGGAGGGAGAATTGGCGGGGATGCTTCTTGCCCCAGGGAAGTCAGGAACACTACAGCACCCGATCCTTTGAAGTAAGGGACAGGGAAGCTTTGGGGAGAGAGAACATACTAAGAGACAAAGCAATGTAAGCAATGAAGGGGGAGAGGGAGGGGGGAGCGGGAAATATAACTTTCACAGCATACTCTTCCCAGGTACACTCTAAACAGATGGGCTGGGGCCCCTGTGAGCTGAGGACCTGCAGGGTGGCAGGCTGTAGATGTGCAGGGGCAGTGCTGTTCTGCTTTGGATTTTTTTTTTCTTCCATGCTGTATTATTGGTTGGTGCTCTTGCTTCTGGATCCTCTCTACCCTCCAAACAAAGCAGCCTGAGACTTAGGAAAGTGTGCAAACCACAACACTGTGGCTTGTGATGATGCTTTCCGCTTGTGCCCACAAATACTTCAGAGCTGTGACTCTTTCTCTGCCATCGAGTCTGTGACACTTTCCCTCACATCGGCGGTTTGATGTGACAGGTCCAGACTGTCGGGAGCTCTTTTCGAAACTTCCGAACTGTATTTTATATGGCTGTCAAGTCACTGTGTGTGAAGCTAGAACTTTCCAGCCCTGTCTTAGTTCATTTTCTGATGCTAGATCAAAATACCTGTCATTGGGGTCATTTATAACAGAAAGAGGATTGTGTCTGGGGTCATGGCTCCAGAAGCTGGGAAGTCCAGGAGCATGATACCAACAAGAACATCCATGCTTCTTCAACTTGTGCCTGAAAGCAGGAGTGTACAGAGGAAACAACCCACTCTTATGGTAGCTAATCAGGTTCCGTAAGAATTAGCCACTCCCGTGAGAGTGGCATTAATTCCTCTAATTAATTCCTTGAGAGATGGTCATCTCTCAAGGACACTACTGCCTCCCACCACTAGTACCCTGGAGACCAAGTTCAGTGCTACAGGAAATTCTACAGCCAATAGCCTTTAAGTTAACCACTGGGGCGTGGCCTCTTACACTATTTATGCCGATGTAAAGCATGCGTCCGGCTCTCTTTTCTGGTTGCAGGGTTCAGTTGCTGTTCTTTGTTCCAGCAGAGGATATTGATTTGTGAGTCTACCCCTAGATAACTAGCCATCTATTATTCTCAATTCTGAGCTAGGGTGCGATTTCTTTTCAGCTTCCATCTTCAGCTCAGTACGGCCAGGACAAACCAACCTCAAACCATAGCTTCAGGCCAAAAATCCCCCCTACACACACACACACACACACACACACACACACACACACACACTACCCCATCCCACCCCACCCAAAAAAGTAGATGGAGGAGAAACACTGTTGGTAGCCCAGAATCAACTGGCTATCCCAAAAGGGGAAATTTTTCCCTCTGATAAGAATTCTTTTTCTCAAACCCCTTTACCTCTGAAACGCCAATGAGTCACGGAATCTACACAGACACTGAGTAGTATCCGGCGGTAACTCCAGAGCAGCACCCACCTCCTCACAAACCTGCCTTTGGTTTGCTTTTGTCTGTCAAGAATCCAGGCCTCGTGTTCTACTGAAACATGTTTTTGTAAGGCAAATTTCAATAGAGAATAATACTTTTGATTCAGACAAAAATAGTGGTTTCTTCAGAAATGCTAAGCATTGTGTCTTTGAGCAAAGTCTCATTAATCGCCTGCCAAAAACTCTGTTACAATTCCAAACCCTTCCTCTGATTTGAGGCTGTCATTTGACTTGTTAGACAGGAGTCCCAGCCCTTCCCTGGGAAACTTCAGCTTGGGGTTCCACACTGGGGTCTTCTTCCTGTGGATTAGGATTTAGATAAAAAGTGCCCCCGAGTTCTTGGAATCTTGGGTGGCAAGAGTTGATCCTAAAATTTCTACACACTACTGTTGACTGAGGAGACAAGATGGCTCTCCAGCTGACTCTGTCTGCTGTTGACTAGGTCTGTCTCAATGTGGGTCCCATTTTACAGTGAGACTCAGGAGGCCCTTGTCACACCATTGCATAAAACATGCCAGTAAGATCTGGGTCCTCGGATTGTTTCATGCTCTGAATCAGAGGAGAGGAGAAAGCCTGTCCTGGTGCTGGCTGTGCTGGCCAATGACTCTACAGGTCATAGGGGCATTGTAGTAAGGAGCTGCAGGCAGGCCTGCTTTTCGCCTCACCCGGCTCCTGCACGGCTAGCTTAGTCCCAGAAATAACAACACACAAATTGTATTCATTTAAGCACTGCCAGGCCCATTATCTCTAGAGAGTTAGTTACTGACTAACTCTCATATCTTGATATTAACCCATTTCTAATAATCTGTAGCACCACGAGGTGGTGGCTTACCGGAAAAGATTTAGCATGTCTGACCTGGTGGCTGGCTCCATGGCGTCTGCCTCATAGCCTTCTTCCCAGCATTCTGTTCTGTTTTCTCCGCCTACCTAATTTTCTGTCCTATCAAGGGGCCAAGGCAGTCTCTTTATTGACCAATGAAAATAACACAATAGACAGATAACCCTCCTCCATCATTTCCCCTTTTTCTGTTTAAACAAAAAAGAAAGGCTTTCATTTTAACATAGTAAAATTACATATAACAAAACAGTTATCAAGCAAGAATTACAGTCACAATATTTATAACTATATCTTTATCATAATAATGGAAAACTATAACTATAACTATCCATTCTTTAACTCCATCAAAAACTCCAGAAGGATATAATATTACCTAAGTAAACAAGAAGTAAGCAACTTCCAAAACTCTAGAAATGACAGAGACATCTCACTGCCTGGACAGTCACCCAAAGTTCCTCTGTATCGTTGGGGCATCCATCTTCAGCCTTCAGGCCCATAATATCCAGAGACATTTTCATGAAGCAGGAAATTTCAAAGGCAGTTTAGTCACTATCTGCTGTGTCCTGCAGAATGTCTCGCAGACTCTTTCATGAATCAGGAACCCCGAAAGATCATCTCACCTTTAGGCAAGTTCAGTAGTCCTCTCTCTGCGGGTTCTCTGTGTCCAGTTTATACAACAGTCCAGGCAGGAGCAGTTTCTTGCCCAAATGGCTATCAAACTCCATAAGGAGCCTCTTCGATGCCCATCTTCCTCTTGAAGTAGATTGGTGCTGTCAGGAGCAGACGTGTCCTGAAAAGCCCTAAGTTATTAAAATATTAAATGCCGTGTTCTGTAGTCTTTGAAAGATATGAAGAATGCCTATCTGAAATATATCTATGTAATCTAGAAAATCTAACTAACATGACTACAAGCTTGGCTATTATTGATGATTATCCTATATTCATCCTATAGGATGATTATATCCTATATAACATATATATATATCCTATATGTTATTGATGATAACAACCTATATTTTTAATTATACATTGCATTTTTAAATGAACTACATAATCACAATACCTCAATCAAGTTCAGAAATATATATACAAATAACAAAATTGACCTTAAAATCCATACCAATGAAATTATTCATATTTATATCATGTCCCCCTTTAAATGTAAAAGAACATTTATAAACAATATTTGGGAATATGGACGTAGTTATTTCTCTTCAAACTTCTTCCTGCTGTATAGGGGCGCAGTTAATCAGGTCTTTCATGGTAAAACCTGTCTGCCAGGTTCATCTCAGTCGGCAGTTGAGTGAAGAAATTTTTTGAGGGTGTTCACAGAAACCTTTCAGGAGGGCGTGGTCTATCATACCATATTGGGATAGAAGCAATCCACAGGGTCTCATCCTCTGTGAAAACAAAAGAAGAACCTCCTTTCCAAAGTATCATATCCTTAGATCCAAATTCAGAAGTCAAGGTATTTTCAACATATCTATCTTGGATTAGTTCAGCAGCATTTATAAACAAATATCTTTTAGCAGCTGTTGCTCCTTCCTCAGCATTCAAACAATTCAAAGAGAGCATAATAGCATACAGTATCAAGATTCTCTGTATATTTTCCATCTTTATTTTAACCTCTATTTCTTTTATTTTTACTTTTACTTTTTGAGACTGGTTCTCTGTATATCTTTGTCCTGGAATAACTCTGTAGACCAGGCTGTCCTTGAACTCAGAGATCCCACTGTCTCAGCCTCCCCAGCTACCACACTTTGAACTCACAGAGATCTGTCTCTGCCTCCCAGGCATTGGGATTAAAGGTGTGTACTACCTACCACACTTTGAGGTCACAGAGGTCAATATGCCTCTGCCTCCCAGGCATTGGGATTAAAGGTGTGTACCACCACACCCACAGGGTTCTATACTCCCTGAACAGCTTCTGGGGGCTGCATGATTGTGATGCTTGGGATGTGGCTCCCAGAGACTCAGAAGAAACCCAAGGGACAAAGAAGAAAACGGCAGGTGGAGCCATCATGGCCACAGGTGTCAGAGCAGTGGTTCTCAACCCGTGGGTCGTGACTCTCGGGCGTCAAGTGACCTTTTCACAGGGGTCACCTAAGACCATTGGGAAACACAGATATTTATAATCCACAACAGTGGCAAAGTTATAATTATGAAGTGGGAATGAAAATAATTTTATGTTTGGGTCCAGTCAGAC